CAGTGTTTACACGGATCCGTTCATGCTTCGATGTGAGCCGTCCTCAAAGTGGAACAGCTTTTTAGCCGGCCCCAACCCTGAACACTTGACGCAGCATGACATGACGCCAGAGTCCAGTTCCAGAGTTCCAGTGTGAACGCGCGCCTAGAACGGTTCCGAACGGAACCGGCCCCGTGTGAACGTAGCCGAAAACTGGGTTTTTGAGTAGATTTTATTTTTGGTACTCAGTGAAAGTAATCGATATTAATCGATATCTCTATATTTTTTTGTGATTATCGATTTTTATCGATTACCGATACTAATCAATACTAATCAGTTTGATATATCGAGTAATATCGATTTATCGATTAGCTTTCCGATGATCGATTTTCATCGATTCGTTACGCCGGGCTTAATCATATGACTAATATTCTAATAACAAATTCCAGAGAGAATTGTAAATATTAGGTGAGAAGTTGCATTTACATATTGCAGAACTAAGGGCATCTCTCAATCCTGGTTCATGTTTCTCGGCAACTAGCCAGCCCGCTTCATATAATCAGGCCCTAAGAGTATTTAAGATATGTCGGGGGTGGATCCAGCTGGTGGATCCAGGGTTTGCACTCCCCCTGAGATCTGTATCCTTCAATACTTTCCTTATTTTGTATCTTCAATGTAATGATTTTAGTGGTGAGCTCTTCCTTCTGAGAGCCCAGCACTCCTCCCTGAGTAAAATCCTGGAGCAACCCCTGTATGTATGTACATAATGTAGCATTCACTGTAAGTCGTATTCTCTACAGAATAAAAATGTAGACACAGTCAATTTCTTAATAAATCAACATTTTCAATATTTTTTTTAAAATAGCACAGCTAAACCTAAAACTGGAATACTTCTTCTGAACCTTGGAGGTCCTGAAAGCCTTGATAAAGTCCATGACTTTTTGCTTAGGCTATTTCTAGACAAAGACTTGATTCCACTCCCTGCTCAGAGGTAGAGAAAATACATGGATTAATATTAAGCTATCTGTTCATACATCCCTATCTCTCCTTTCCTATCATTCACAATTCCTCTTACACTCAAGTTTTTACATCAATCTCTCCCTCCTTCCCTGAACTGCAGTATACTAGCAGTTTACTGTGAACTAACAGCAAGTATTAGGTTAAAATTGGTAATATATATGTTGCAGTTCAGGTTCAATTATATGATTTTGAACCGGTTCAATTTCTTCTGAACTGGTTCAGTTTATTTTGAGCCAGTCCAATATAACTCAATCCAGTACAAATCAGTTTAGGGTTAGGTTTAGGGTTAGGTTTAGGGTTAGGGTTAGGTTTAGGGTTAGGTTTAGGTTTAGGGTTAGGGTTAGGTTTAGGGTTGGGAATAGGGTTGAGCCAGCATTATATAAAAATTTTCTTCATTAATAAATTACAATTAAGTTAAAAATAATTTGCAAACATTACTACCAACAAAATCCTTGATGGTATAATTGTTAGTACTGTGGACTATGAAGCAAGAGTTCAGTGGTTCAAACCCTGATGAAGGTAAGTGTTATTCATAAATTAAAAATATAGAAAATATCAATATTTCTGTGGGGCATAGGGTAAGGTAAAAAGTAGGAAATAGTAGGAGGTAGAAAATAAGATGATAGATAGAAAATGGGAGAGAATGAGGTGGGATATAGTTCTTTTAAGAATGCCAAAGCAAAAATAAAATATCAGTACAAAAAGTCTTGTACTGGGACAAATTAGATTAAACTGGTTCAAAAATATATTGAACCTGAACTACAACATATATTTAAATTGTTATATATATTTAATTTTATGTACTTACATGTGGTTATTCATGAATGCTGTGGCATAAATATCACAAAACWATTTCAGCAAATWAAATCATGGCTGAAAATGGTYAGGTTTTGGAAAAATATAGGCTTTGGAAATGCCTATACAGCATTCTCATTTCTCAATCACCTTGTCTTAGTTTATATTTTATTTGTCTTTCATTGATGTGGATGTGGAGGTTTATCACAAATTTCCTTTTTCATSATACAACATTATAACCTTCCATTCAAAAAATGTGCCTTTCCATTGACCCATCAATCTGTCTCCATTCCTAGTCAACTTGCACCATGGATTGCAAAAAGGAGAACTCCTAAGATTCAAGAACAGTACAGTAAAATAGGAGGAGGTTCACCTATCAAGATGTGGACAGAGAAACAGGGAGAGGGGATGGTGAAACTRTTGGATAAAATGTCCCCAGAGACTGGTAAGACTTATTACGGTAGACTTTTGTATTATTTTAACTAGATCTACATTGTGTTTTGAGTTTCAATTCATGTTTGCATTTATATATTTCATTCAGTATTATGAAACTAGCTAGTGAATTATCTTTTTTGCAGCACCTCATAAATTCTATGTTGGTTTCCGTTATGCCGAGCCATTGACTGAAGATGCAATAGAATCTATGGAAAAGTAAGGAATAGTTTCAATATAAGTATTGCAGATATATGCACATGATTTTGTGTGAAAATACCTTAACTTCACAAAAACATACCAACAAGACAACATTAACTTGATTTGAATTTAAATGGACTTTGTTTTATCTTTTCTCAGGGATGGCATAGAGCGTGCTGTTGCTTTTACACAATATCCTCAGTACTCATGCTCAACCACAGGTAGTAGTATTAATGCTATTTACAGGCATTACAATAAGAGAAAGGCTGATTCCAAAATGGTATGGAGTACCATYGATAGGTGGCCAACCCATCCTGGTCTTGTAAAGGTGATTGAGAACAACATGATTTTRTATAGTGAATTGTCTATGATGTGGACGTCTTTTTCTTCCAGTCTACATTTATATAACTATCCTTTTTTGGCTAGTGCATCATTTTGTTCCTTCTCTAATTTCTTTATTTCTTTTTTCCCCTACTCTGTTTGTTTTTGCTTTATTTTGCCTTTCAACTTCCTTACTAAAATTATGCAATTTTGATGAAATATTCTTTTAGGCATTTACTGAAAACATCAAAGCAGAATTACAACTTTTCCCTGAAGAAGTGCGCAAAGATGTTGTCATTCTTTTTTCAGCCCACTCATTGCCAATGTCGGTAGGACTTAAATGTTTTTTATTAGTCAACATTGAGAGTTCTTTCACAATTTTCATAATACACAAGTTAAAGTTMAAGTGTATGATAGAAAATGAATTGATAACATATTGAATAAAAAAATAGCTGAAAAATAGGTAAAGGTTGTAAATATAGACAAATGTACAAGTCAATATATTTAATGCAATATTCTTGTTATGGTTATCAAACAGGTTGTTAACAGAGGTGATCCATACCCTCAAGAGGTTGCTGCCACTGTGCAGCGTGTAATGGAACAGCTGGATTTCTCTCATTCTTACCGTCTGGTGTGGCAATCCAAGGTAATCTTGTGAATAGTTCATCAAGAGCTAGCACCTTGGCTTAAAGCTTACATGCTTGCCTGCAAATATGATCATGTGCACTTGTTAACAGGCGAAAAAAATGATTGATAGCTTTTGCATTGTTCATGAGAGCTTTGAATACTTATCTTTGATGATTATTTTTCGTGTTATCTTGATAGGTTGGCCCTTTACCTTGGCTGGGACCTCAGACTGAAGATTCTATCAAAGGTTTGGCTAAGAATGGCAAGAAGAACATGCTACTTGTACCGATAGCTTTTACATCAGATCACATTGAAACCCTCCATGAATTAGATATTGAATATGCAGAGGAAGTTGCAAAAGAGGTATGCTAAGCAAAACTCCCATTAAATAGAGAATCCTTGACAAACAAATGGGTCATTTTCAAGAAATGTTTGACACTGGGTCACCAATCGGCATGTTTGATGCTCCATCCAACAATGATGCTTTCTTACCCAAACTCCATCTGATGGACAACTGTATTATACACTTAATGACTGTTCCCAAGGGAAATGGTTAGTTTTGTTTCCCGAGTGAGATTTGAGGGAAACAAAAACTAACCGTTTCCCGAGGGAACAGTCATTAAGTGTTTTGTTATATTGGTAAATTATGTGAGTAAAAATAAATCAAAACACGTTGCAAGATGATTTCCAATAATACTTTATTGTGAATATAATAACTGTGAACGTCGCGACAAAATAGCAAGATGTTGAGCTTTTATTAGATTACTGCATTGTGCTTGAAAATAAAAATAATATAAATATACAAATGCCAAAAAACTAGCAAAACTTTATGAATGAAACATTCAATGAGTTCCTGAATAGAAATTTAACGTGACGTTTGTTCAAATTCACCGTTTCTCTCTTGTTTTCACTGCAGAATTCTATCAGAGTCGTATCCACAGCAGTCTTTGTAGCTTTGTTAGTGTTTTCCAAGTCTTTGTTGACAACCATTTTGTCTATTTCTTGACTAAGATTTGAAAATCTCTTTGATGCCGACTCCATTTTGTAAACAGTCGAAAGCAGCAAAAACCATTCCCGCCTTTACAAACTGTTACTCAACGCGAGTCGGCCTTTTCCCACCAAGCGGTCAACAATCGCCAAACTGTTGACCGATCAGTCAACAGTTGATTTTAGCTCCTGACACGTGACACCGAATCGCCCAATAAGAGAGCGAGAAAACAGTGAAAATAATTTACCAATATAACAATTTCTATTGTCTGATTTTTGCACCAATCAGTGTGAATGTTAGGTTTGTTTTTCAAGAAATCAGATGCTTAAATATAGATTTTTGGTTGGCAAAACGGAGGGTTGTGACATCAAGAATATTGTCCATCAGATGGAGTTTTGGGATGGGAAGCATAATTGGTGGTACAGTGTAAACCCATGCCGTCTGGAAATCAGGCTAGAATATATAAAGTTAATAATTATACTTGAAATATCTTGCTTCAGGCTGGGGTTGAGAATATAAGAAGAGCAGCATCATTAAATGATAACCCAATTTTCATTCAGGTAAATGTAATGTAAGGAAATAGCATATAATGACAGCATAAACTCAGAGTTRCTTTAAACAGTCTTAAAGCAACTAGACGATCATGGATCGCTTACGTGGGCTTCCTGTAGTTGCGACAATGAGTAAGCTGCGTAATTGAGTTATACATGTAAGTATTTCATTTTTGTGATACAGTCTTTGTTTGAAATAAGTCAAGACAGAATTAAGTTTAGTAAGTTTAAGAATGTAAGTTATTTACTACAACATCATAAGTTTTGCTGAACTGAACTCTAAGTAACTTCTTTAAGTATCCTGTCTTTCTCAGTTTTCCAAAATAGCTAGCCCGACTTTACGCCGTAAGAGTGTCTAGATTATTCAAATGTGCAAATCTTGTGAGATTTAAATAAATTTGACCTGAAAGGTCATATCACCATAAGTTTTTCTAGTAGCTCCGAGATAATAAACAATAGAAATGGTACAGTCTTTTGCAGTTTTCTCAGTATTATAACTTTGAGTAATATTTTGACCGTTTGAATTATCTGAGAAGAAGTAAGAACTTTGAGTTTGTGGACAGGCACAACGAAAAGTCCACTTGCATTTTTAGATGTRACCTTCCACAGGAAGCCCACATAATGACATCATTTGACCAAAAATTGTGAGACTAAAGGAGTCTTTRTAATGTGACCAGGAAATTTAGTTACCCCTTGTATTGGTGCATGTAATATATACTGCCACATAAACTTTATGCTATCATTAATATATGAATGTATAAATTCTAACATTTGTCTCGTTCTGATAATCACAATCTAATGTTCTCATTTTTTTCTTTCAGTCAATGGCAGATATAGTTTGTAGTCACTTAAAGTCTAATRAACCCTGCTCTCGACAGATGCCTYTACGCTGTCCCTTATGTGTAAATGCTGTCTGTGGACCTGCAAAGGAATTCTTTGCCAAACAAAATATTTCTTAAAATGGAATTATTATAGATGAAAAGTTAAATAATTTTCACTAGTATTATTTTTTCAATGAAATTTTGCTAACTTGTGATCTCGGGYAATGTGAAGATTTATTGCCCAAAAATAAATATTAACTATCTCACAACTGCTTCCAACACATCTGACATTCCACATCTTTGAGTGGAAACTGAATATACATCATGTGTCACTTATTTGAATTATTATTTTACTAATTATTTTAAAAATTCTAAAATTAGGTGGAAAACCTTTTCAAGATCAGTTTGGTAAAAACATTAACAATAATTTAACAATGTAAAAGAAGTAAAAATAAAAGTTTATTTCCCATTACCATGCCTACCTTGCTCCTATTGGTCTAMTTTCTTTGCTACTCATATTTGCAATATTCCCTATATTTGCTAACAATGGACTTATATTGTTTTCAGCAATTTTGCTCTGGAACAGGGTAGCAATTTCAATGATTTTACTCTGGAACAGGGTATTGATTTCAATGATTTACTCTGGAAAAGGGTCAGGGTTAATTCTGGAGTTATTGATGTTGGTTAAAAATAGTTCTGTATGCAGACTAGTGCTGCACAATCAATCACTCAGAACACTAGTCTCTTTCAACAGCCGCGACTTCCGCGGTCTCGTCAAATTTCCTCCCCAAAAGGCGAGGAAATTTGACAAGACCGGAAGTCGTGGCTGTTGATAGAGACTATCAGAACACTAACAGGGTAAGGTTTCGGTGATTTTACTCCATAACAGGGTATTAAGTTTTGGTGATTATACTCTAATAGGGTATAGTTTTCAGCAAATTCACTCTGGGGTTTCAAGGTCCTAACGGCACAGCTCCACCCAAGTTTGGGGGAGGTCCCCCCAGTATTGTATAAACACACTTTTTTACTCCGACAAAGTATTAATGTCCAAAACATCTTTTTCGGTGTTAAATTAACATCTTTTTACATAACTGTTTCTTTAGAAACACCGACACTGCTCACACCACTTTACCACTAGTTCCCACCTTTTCAAGATCAGCTTGGGGAGGGGAGGGACTTCCATA